GGAATGAAGGATTTTGTAGGCTGTAAAACGATTTAATGAAGAATTTGAAAAATAATTTGATAAAAGAGGGCTACATTCGTGTCCGTTTTCGTTCCTGTCGTAGTTGAATCTGACTCTTTGTCTCGTTTGCTTCCTGTTGCTCCTGCTTCTAGGGGTCTTTCTTATTTCTCATTCCCACATGGGGGCATCGGAGGTCGAAGTCGAGCTGGTTGGCTCCGATCATATCATCCGGTCGAGGCGGGGAGGTTCGATGTTCTCCTTACGCGTCTTCGCCGCTAGCATATTCGCTTACATATTTCAGTCAAGTTTGGAACTTTTTTGTTCATGAAATTATTCTCTTTTCTTCATGAGTTTTTCACGTCCTTCTCCTCTATCTCGTATGTTGATACCACTAACAGTAAGTCGTGCTACTCTAATATCGAGGCGAAGAAGCAAAAAAGCAGCAGGTCTCATTAACACGACTCACCCTGCCTTACTTCCAACTGTTGTTGCTACACTGCTCTTCCTTCTCCCAATCCTCGTCTACCTTTTTGTATAAATCTTCGTTATTTAGTGTTCGCTCTTCCTAACCCTTTCAACCGTTTGTCAGCCTGATTGGACGAGATTCCAAAACTTACAAACCGCGGCTTTAGCTGTAGGGAGCTTGTTTTTGCATTTGTTGTTCGTTGAAGGCTTCTTTTTTTATAGAGGGCTTGGCTTGCACTTTGCTTTTACACCTCTATCGTGACCCTCCACGCGTTGTCCTCTCGCCTTGGCCTGTGGAACCGTCCCGGGCGCGCAGTGCTGCTTTGCATTGAGAAGCTGCAACAGGTTTATCTACAATGGAAAAGGAAAGGCTGCCGGGGCCTTGTTGCGAAAAATTCTCTAAACAGATTAGCACCAATGTAAAAAACTATAATCGTGAGGAGCGAACTCTCCGCACCGTTTCTGAAAACAAATTCAATAAACCGAAAGGCGACCTCCAATTTGCGGAAACACTTGCAGGTAGGCAACTTTCTTGTTACTTTGAATAATACTTACAGTTATAAAAAAATAATAATAATAGCTCGTCTTGTCCAGCTGAAACACGCTCAAGTAAATCGTGAAATCGAGGCGTTCAAGAGGCCGCTATTTTGGAATAATTCGCGGATTCTAATTTTTGCGACGCGGTGCGGTCGCGATATAGATTCCAATGTGTTTACATTTTTTCGTGAATTGTGGGCGATTCGCGAAATTCGCGAAAATAAAGTCGTTTGCAGTGTATAATTAATTTTTCGAGGTTGTTCTTGCCATGCTAAATTCAAATCGGTCTTCTTTATGAGACGCATAACATCGATACAATCATTGCAATCTAATGATTAGCTACATAACGATCCTAAATTTATTATTTGTCTCAGGAGCTTTTTGGATGTTACCGTGCACTGAATTAACCCAGAATCCCTGGCAATAGAGTTGCTGCTATTGTGACACTAGTTTTGTGGAAGCGACCACAGTTCGTGTGCTACGGTTACCCACATCCGGCATGTTACAAGTCCACAGAGAGGGAGAGGCAGCGAATCATCGTGGCTGAAATGTTTTCGTAAGTTGTTGTATCCTTTAAATGTTTGACGTTGTTTACAAGTTTCTCTTATTAGCCATTTTTACGTGAATTTTATGATACCAGTACTGTCGCATATTTGTTTCCTTGCATTATTTTTAAGTTAATTTTTTCTTGGTTTGGCTTGGATACCATTTGCATAAGCTCTAAGGAGATTCACCTCGCACCTGTGAATTTTGTCGCCATTTTTTATGTTTTGAGAATATATGAACGCAGGAGTTCATTACTCCAAACTATTAAGTTCTATAATTCATTTAACAAATTTCATAAAAGGAAAGTACAATGCGTGACATTTATACAGCGGCCATATAACTCGTTTACAGTTATGTGGCCCAATGTGGGGGGTAACTCTCAGAAATAAGTAATTGTAAAGTAATTGCATTACTTTTAAAAAGTAATTTGTAATTGCAATGAACTACTTTTGCGTAGTAGTAATTGTAGTTAAACTACTTTTGGAGCAAAGTAATTGTAATTGTAATTAAATTACATTTTGAAAGTAATTTACCCATGTATGGACACCAGGCATACGTCGTGGTCCGCCTTCCGTTTGCACCTTTTCTTTTTTTCAGACTCAAGTCTCTATAACATGCGCCCAAGTTCCGCGCATGAGCAGAACGCGCCACCAAGGGCCCAAAGACGCGCGTTGGGCCGCTTTCCACGTCGCGCGGTGGAAAGAGGGCAGCAACGAAGAGGGGGATAGCGCTGCTCGCACCTCAGCTCCTTTTTCTTTTCGGCCCTGATGCGTATTCGGCCGTGGTCGCCAACGACTGCGCGCGTCGACACCGGCAGGAGAGGGAACGTGCACGGCGAGGCGCCTCCGGCGTTTATCAAGAATAATGGCGCAACCCCTGCGCGAGCCCTGGGGGACCCAATGACCCCCAGTTAGGCCTAATCGACCAGGTCGCCTCCCTTGGCCCACCACTCCTCTTTTTTTTTCTTTCTTCTGAACCACGCGCGCGCCTTGTTGTTTGCAACAGTGGGCCCACAGGAGCGTCGCGGCTGTTTCCTTCGCTACTACACTCTCGCTTTCCTGAGCCTTGTTTGTTCGAGGGAAAGGACATTGAGTTAGAAGGGGAAGTAGCTTTAGGGAGTGGTAAGGGTGTAATTCGCTGGCTTTATCTTAGAGAGGGAAAGAAAGGAGTGGGAAAGGAGAGGGGAAAAAGGAGGTGGCTGTACGGAGTAGAGAGGGTGTGACTCGCTGGCTTTTTTTAGAGTGAGAGAGAAAGGGTATTATGGGGGGGAAAAGGGTGAAAAGGGAAGCGGCATTAGGGAGAAGAAAAGGTGTAAGTCGCTGCCTTTTTCGTAGAGAAGAGGAGGAAAAGGAGAGCGGAAAAAGGGAAGCAGGCATAGGGAGAGGAAAACCCTAACTTGCTAGCTTTTCTTTATGAAGAGAGAAATTGAGTGAAGGAATAGAAAAAAAACAAGGGGAAGAAGGAGGATTGTATAGAAAGAAAAAAGGGTGTAAATTGCTATCTCTTCTTAGAGAAAAAGAGATAGAGAAGGGAGAAAAGAAAAGCGGGAAAGGGAAGTAGGTATACGGAGGGGAAAGCATGTAACTCGCTAGCTTTTGTTTAGAGAAAGAGAAAGAGAGAGAAGGAATGAAAACGGAAGAGGAAAGGGTGTTGTTCCGATCCAACTTGTTTCTATGGGGGAGAGGGTGGTAGAACATAAAACTGAAAGAAAAGGAAGCTCGTTGGTTTTAGGCGAAGGAGGTCAGAAAATGGGGAGATGGTAGAGGAGAAAAGGGAAGGGAGTCTCCCAACGTAGTACGCGGCGGAGGAGGTGTCTGGCTGCAAACGGTGATGCCGGCTGGTAATCCGACTGTTGACGTTGATGATGCTACGAGAGTTAACTAGCCAAACGAGCTTCGCGTGTTGCCCGTTGTTTCGAAGGGAGGGAGGGGAGGGGGAGGAAAAGACCAGTTCCGCCTGTGTGTAGTGCTGCTGTTTAAAAATGGACGAGGCTCCGAGTATTTCTCGCTGTTTGTCTGGGTCGGTCGGTCTCGGCGTCTCGTGTGGGACGCTTTAGGTACGTGTGCGCGCGCGCACGCGTTCGCTCTTTACGGCGTTTTCCCAACTTGGAGGGGAGCTAGGCGGGCGGGCGACAAGTGCTCCCACGTGCATAGAGAGTGCCGGTGTGTACGCGATCGGACCTTGCGGGGCTTCTAGCGTAAGTTATAGCGCTGTTGCTCCATGGCGGCCGCCGCACGTGACCCTGGGCTCGCGCTTCGCTCGCGTTTTCACGTCCCAGACGGGAGTTGGGCTCTTTCTTTTCTAGCGTTGGCCTTTTATTTTGGGGAGGGGGGAGAAGGGAGTGACCGGGATGGTCTCTGGGGACGCTGCTTGGGCGCGGTCGGTTTGGCCTTTCGCAGTCGACGATGGAACGTTGCTGTCCTGCTGGCTTATGTTCGGGAGCAGCTGCTGCGTGACGCTGTTTGCAAGAGCCCAGTGGTACGGCCAGGTTTGGGGCAGGGGTGCCTGGGTCGGTGGATTTGGTTAAGGCTTGTTCATAGCCACCGGAAAAAAGGTTGTATTATGTAGAAAGCGTATTTTATTGGAGTGCTCAGTGTGTTGTTTTGATATTTTGTACGAGGCTGACCATGTGAAAGACATACGTGTGTGCACGTGGTAAATGCCAGGTGCAATAAAGGCGAATTACTTTGTGTCAAGTTTGTTTATATTTCTGCGCAAACGAATGGAAGTAAAAGAATAGAGTGTGTGTTCCTAATTTATGTAGCTAATTTTCGCACGTTTGTTTGGTAAGTTAGTTCACCAACGTTCCGGGATCCTCTGTTTTGTGTTTGTTTCTCTCGATTATTATGCGTTAGTTAAGAGAACTGTTGCACGCGACTGTCCGTCATGGGGACTGACTGAAAGGTACCAGCCAATGAAGAGGCGTACCTCGCGCTGTTTCTTGCTCTCTGCGTCCCGGGAATTCGGACCCAAAGCAGCGAGTTGCAATGACATTTTAATTAAGCACGGCTTTTACGCTCTCGGAATTCCGTCTGTAAAGCGGACAAGAAACGACACATAGAGATTCCTTGAATCAAAAAAGAAGGGGCGCTGTTATGCCATTTCGGCCCTTAGAGAGAAAAAAAAAGAGAGAAAGAGAAATAAAAGGACACAAACACCACTTCTCAGATAACAAATCCGCGGCACCGAATTTTTGGGCGCCACACATAAAGAAAACTGACCCGGGCCTCACATTACACACGAATGCCGCGTCATCATTCGGCTGAGACTCTCGTTTTAACTCGCTGACCACGAGTCCGAGTCGAACGCTCACGCAGCGCTCGTACCCGGTTTCGTGCCCCGCGTTGGTCTTCATTCTAGGTGGCGTCGCTGCTTCGGCAATACGGCTTTGTTACCTTGGAAGCCGTGAGACATACAGGGTGTATTTCGGCGGAATGCCACGAGAAACTCACCGTAGATACGCAGTTCCCTCTCCCCTTTGACGGTCTTGAAGCCCGGACCCTCGGTGGACACCTCGCAGCCGTACATGCCTTCCGTGTTCAGATCGGTCTTCTCGAGGAAGACGTTGTTCTTGTCCGACCTCGAGTGCTGCGAGCAAGGGAGAGACAGTGCATCAGGTCGCTTAATATGCACACCAACGCAACGTTGACAAACGAGTCCGCGTTTGGCAGATTCGTGTCAAGTGATACGTCTGCGCATGCGTCGCGCCGACAGTAGTTCCACCGCGGTGGCATGGCGCCAGAGGGTTGAGTTGGAAGCAGGCTGTATGGTACGTCATCCAAGAAAACAAATTAAACGGGTTGCAGAACATCTAAAATTATCTTTCAAAAAGTTAATAAGAGACTAATCAAGGAAGGAAATAGCCACCAAATTCAGAACTCGTTTAAAAAAACACGTATGTTCATTTCTTGTGTTTAATATTTAGTACTTCAAATCAAATCTGTTTATATTCCATCTTCTAACAATACAAATGAAGCAAATGTCGATAGAAAGCTGTCCCAAGACAAGTTGACGGGTTCACACTCCATCCTACACCAAACCCTACGAATAACGCATAAACAATACCCGATGGTTCGCCTACAGTAGATCACCTGGAATAAATCGTATGTTACTTAAACTGGCATGTGTTCGCCCAATAATGTAAAAGGCTGATTGCGTAAAATGGGGGGTGCGATGTTTGTTTGTGCTAGAACTTTTAGCATGTATTAACAGCTAATGCGCAAAACCGGAGAGCACCCCTAGCGGTTGAGGCGCATTCTGGAAAATGACTCAACAAAAAGCTTAGTGTCGGTTTACTCTAGCGCACCGTGGTCAGACACAGACACCGGGAACCCATACCGTGCATATCACCGCAGCGGATTTCATCGTATCTTTGTTGATTGATTCACGTGTGCTTGTGATGAAATAAGTACACTTTTCTTGATTCTAATCGGATGATAAATGATCCGAGGCGAATGCATAGTGGCCAAATGAACCATGGCGATAAAAATGAATGAAGATAACGTAAGAATGATGGATGGAACACGGCTTAATGATATTGAGAAAGCCCGATACTAATCTTGATGCTGGCACTCCGCAAAGTAAGTTGAAATAGACAAGAAACCCACACAACGCGTCGAAGCGGAGGACAGCGTACGTGGATCGGCGGTGAATAGCTTCGTTGTTGCTGCGTGGTCTGCTTTCGCCTTGAGCCGTTTACCTTCTGTCAAAGACACGCTAAAAGCAGTGTACTTTCTGCATCACGTGCACACTCGAATCAACCCCTAAGGATTACGGCAAGGTACGCGGCCGGCAGGGTTGGGCAGAAATACTCAAACATGTATTTGAAAATACAAATACTGGGATACATTAATATAGTAGCTAAAATGCTGATACTACGATATATCTGTAAAAATGTATCGCGATACGTATCGGAAATACATTTTAAATAGAGGCAAAAATATTTGGAGATACAAATACAGGAATACATTTTAGGGAGGGCAGAAATACAAATACAGAAACACTGATACTGCAATAATTTTTCAAATTTGTTTGAGACGCCAACTGAGATGAAGCTTGAAGTTTAAAGTGGAAGTTTAAAGTAGAAGTTTTTGATCCCGAAGTTACTTTCCCGTAGGCTTGGCACTTTTCCTTGAAGGTACTGGTTTCGGATGACGAGGAGTCTTCAATGGGCTCAAAAAAACGTTCCATCAAGGATTCACCGCGGTCCCTTCCCTGACATCCTGTCTGTCTGACGAGGGATGCGAAAAGACTTCGACCGCTAAATAAATTCTATGTTACCCTAAATCTCATCAAAACGTCACCACGTCCCTGTCCAATAAGGATGCTCCTGTCAACATAGGTCACATGACGTCATGGTGGAATGAACTGGTATTCTTTATTTGTAGGTGTGACCTTCAACATGAAACTTCATCACGCTGCTGTATGAATAGACAATACGTACTTTTGTTGTAGGTTACCTCGTTGAAGGCCGTGCAGGCAGTGTCATTTGGAATGTTCGAGAATAGTGGACCACCTGAAGCATCCTGGGACACATGTCTTATCTTCTGTTACGGTTGAAAAAACGATACGGTGGCGTCCCTGTTGTGAAGGTCCTTCCTTGCCGACCCTGCGCCACCGACGCATGGATTGCAGTCCTCAAGTTTCGTCTTGCGTACTCCAAATAGAGACCTCGTGGATTGCGACCTGATATTTCCGGCACAGAAGCGAGCTGTCCGAGAAACAGCGCGATCGAGACGAGTCGCAGGTGTACGAAGTCTGAGTCGGCAGAGCGAGGCCATGTCTGGCCTCCTTTCTGGGTTGTGGATCACCAAAGCAGCGGGTCACGTTCACGTCGGCTGATGACGCACCCTTGAGCCGTGCAATATCACGGGCGCAGCTGCAGACGCATTCGAATATGTGTTGAACTTTACTGCGTGAGTCATCCTACTATTTCAAGTCAACCCCCGCCAGGCTCGTGCTGCAACGGACTGTGACACAGCTTTGCTGGCTGGGTGTACTGTGTACGGTAAGGTAAGAGAGACGGTTAGCAGTGGGCATTGGATTCCAGCAGACGATGACTCAAGAAATATCTACCTAAGGACCTGCGGCAGAAGATGCTCTGACTCCACTCCTGGCACGCCAACTGGTTCGAGTCCCCGACTACGCAACCCTTCTCAGAAGAGAGAAGAGGACACACAGAAAAATAGTTTGGAGAATCGGAAAGAAGCTTGGTCAGCATAGCAGTGGCCCAGCATCTGCTTAACCCTAGTGCCCTCAAAAGTAGAAAAAAAAAAATGCGTTCAGACTTGTATTTTTTTTTCGGGGAGGGGGGGGGGGGACTATTTCTCAAGAGATGCAACGAAATACTTTTCATCCTGATTGTATCGCGATACAAAGAAACATTTCAAATGTATTTCGATACAGGAATACAAATACTGGTGAAAAAAAATGTATCGCGATACAAAAATACAGATACGAAATGTATTTCTGAAATACTATCGCGATACAAAGGTATCGCGATACTGCCCAACCCTGCGCGGCGGCGATGTACGAATTCTGCGGTTTCCGCGGCTGGCCGCGGTACGATGAGGGATACAGAAACTCAGATTTTTGTTGGCAGTTGTTTCCCTGAATACTCCTCAGTGACTAAAGGTGCTCCGGTTTGGCACATTATTTAACTGATATTTAATTACCATTAATTGAATAATAATTGATTAATCGGTTCAACGTGGAGACTGATGGGGAAAGTATAAATATATCGTTAGACTGTTGAGAAATAGAAGCGCTGGGATACTAAGAGCTTTAACGATGCAGGGACAGTGCGACATTTGATTTCATTCATTGGTTTCCTTGACATACATTGAAATGATCGGGGCTTATAATATACGTAAAGGGGAAGCTGGAAAAGAACACCATACATCTTTTACTGAAGTGAACATGTCAGTTATCAATTACGAAGGGATAATTTTAAAAGCGTTATATATAATTTGAAGGCCGTGAACCTGTGGCTTAATGATACATAATATTGGCAGCCGATGGTACTTATATTTTTGTGTATATTCAGCGGTTCAATAAAAGCTTCTGATTGGTACTATTTTGAATGCTTGCGGGCATGGCGCGTGCTTTGCTTGCTTTGCAAAGCAAAGCACACGCGCGTGTTTGGCTGCTTACTCTGCACGCTGGGTCGTTGAGTCGTAAGATGTAGAAAAAAGAGTGATTTAAATGTTAGCATACGGCAGCTAAGCCAACAACTTAAAGAAATGATAAAAAAAGTCAAAACATATTTACCATTCCCAGTAACTCTTCATAACTTCCTAAGTAACAACCCCCAAAATTTCTGGCCATAACTGAACCCGGAAAACAAAAATGTTGAACAAATCACCCTGGACGGAAAGGTAGTAACAGATACCAGCGTTCTTGCAGATAGTTTTAACCTGTTTTTTCAGTCAGTATTCACACGCAAGACACCACACGATAATCTGGAATACATGACTAAAAGAAAGGCAGGACAGAATGTCGGTGATATAGAAAGAAGGCCAGAGATAGATCGAGTAAGTGATACCGTATCCCCCATGCCCCAACTGACAATAACAAAAGAAGGAATTCTGTCAAAACTGTTAGACCTCGACACAAAGAAAGCATGTGGTCCAGATAAGATACTGCGACTACTTCTTTCAAGAGGTACGCGGAATAGATTTAGTTTTATTTACATTGCTTATTTGTAAGTTCTTTAGAGTCATCGCAGCTTCCCTCTGATTGGCGGTGTGCACGTGTTGTCTCGATCTTTAAAACGGGCGATAGACTGGCCATGAGCAACTACAGGGCAATTTCTTTAACAGCTTTAGCATGTAAATTCATAGAGTATGTAATAGCAAAGCACATAGTTCATTACATTGAAACTAACAAGTTGCTTTATTCTCATCAGCGTGGGTTCCGGTCTGGACTTTCAACAATAACACAACTGGTTGAGGTAACCCATGACATAGGTTCCACACATAATGATAAACAACAGGTTGATGTTATTTGTATAGACTTTTCTAAAGATTTTAATCGCGTGCCTTACAGGAAACTATTATTAAAACTTGAAACAATCGAAATTCACTCAACGATTACCGGCTGGATAGAGTCATATCTAACTAATAGAAGCCAGCATGTAAACATTAACGGCCACGTCTCAAACCTCCTTCCAGTTTACTCGGGCGTGCCCCAGGGCTCAGTCTTGGGGCCATTGCTGTTCTTAATATATACAAAGGACATAGTACATGAAACTCCAACAGACATTCATATAAGGCTCTTCGCCGATGACTGTATTATTTATTCAGCTGGTAATTCAACCGATCGACAAACTTCACTAAATAAATATCTTAAACACATTAAAGGATGGTGTGACAAATGGGATATGAAAATAAACTATACAAAGTCCGTGTTTTGCCATATCACTAAGAAACGAAGCCTTCTGCCATTTAAGTACTGCATTGGAGACATAAGAGTGAGCAATAAAGAGCACTTTAAGTACCTTGGTGTCACGTTTTCTAAAGACCTAACCTGGACCCAGCATATTGACACCGTCTGCAGATCGGCATATAAAAAGCTTTGTTTTTTGAGAC